ACTGGCCTACTTGTTCTACCATTACCTAAATTACCCCTAAAAAAAATCAGAACCTACATTTAACATGATCTCCAGGTGATCTGTATACAGTACATCTGGAAACCAATGTGTCTCAAACACTAATCAAATTATATTGATAGATCCTGAGGCCTGAGGTTCTGTATTTTCAACAAGCTACCAGGTGATACTGATGCTGTCAGTGGATGATGTTTAATTAGCAAAGATCTATTTTGGTGATTCTCTACAAAACCCAATACTGGGGTAGAACATGGGAACTGGTGGGTACCAGCAGCCCACCACTACCCACCCAGTTTCTCTACCTCCAAACAGAATAATGCATGCATAATACTATGCTAAATGTTATGCCAAAGCAAAAATATCTGACAGAGACTGAGACCTTGAGTAAGAGGGTCTCACAATCTTTTGAGGGGGGGACCTCATATAAATAAAAAAGTAATCAATACAAGAGGTTGTATGAATGTCTCTTGTAAGACAATAGGACATCAGTGAAAAACCCTGACATATGCTATGAATGTCTAGCAGGAAGACCCTCAATCCCTCCTATCCGTCATAAAGGGAGGAACCAGGGGCTCTGTAAGCCAGGAAGCAGGAATTTTGAGTAGATTCAGGGTCAGGAGGAAACTCAGTGAACATTTCCAGCCAGGAACACAACACGATTCCTTCAGCCCACAATCTCTGAATAAAAGAGCTGATGTAATATGAGAAATTATAAGGCATTGAATATTAAAACAATGGAAATAAGATTCTACCAGACTTACGTAAACTCTGAGGGCAATACAGTTTGTGGCTGACCCTTAAATCTACTCTTAAAAGCTACAAAGATCAAAGCAAAAACGAGAGACTGAGATTTTAGAAAACAGGCTCAAAGTGTTTCATGCATATGTATTTTTAGGCCTCCAGATACTTCCCCCGAAGACTTATTATTACGACACCTTAAATCTGGCTCCGAACTGCACCCACACTCAGCAAGAGGGGCATCAGAAACGAGCATCTCCCAAAGCAACGTCATCCCCCTCTCCTAGAGCATGTACCACACAGATGCTCAGTCCCGAGGACGGCATCCAGATGTCTCAGCCCAGCCAGCAGGCAGAGCCCTCCCCAGGCTGGCAGCCTCCCTCCTTTCCAGCTTTATCTTCCACCCCTCCTCGACCCCAACACTCTGCTCCCAGGAGATTGCTATTTCCTCCTTCCCCTCCACCCACGTGCCCAATCCGATCCTTGTTTACTGGTCACTCTGCATCTTTGTTGCCTAGGTCCGCTCTGCCAAGAATGACTGACCCACACCTTTCTGAGTATCGAATCCCTGCCTGGCCTCCAAGGTTTGGCCCAAGCTCCACGCCCTCCATAGTCAAGGCATTTGTTCTCTGACCAGCCCGGACACAAGTGCTCTCTCCTTCCTTCAACCTTTCATCACCCTCTTGACACATCCTTACCTCCCTGGAGCGTACTTCTCTTTTGTGCTCCTTCCCTCTCGTATTAGCCATGAGCAACTCAGGCTGGGTTCTCTCTCGTTTATATTTGAATCCCTTCAGGTCACTTCCAGAGTCGCTTACACATCACAGGTGCTCTATAAACAGCGTTATTATGTTAGTAAGTAAAAATACTATGCAAAGTCCTTGGATAACCATGAACAACAACAAAAAAAGAGCATGTAGTCTAACCCATAGGTTCTTTTTCAGATCACCATGGTCCGTTCTGTTTCTCCTTTTCAGAACATTTTCAGAGCCTTGTTCATCCAGAAACGTCCAAATCAACCTCTGGCACATCTAAGCCCCAGTTCCCTGTGCCAGGTTTGCTTCCTCCATTTCTATTGGGCTCCCCTCCCCTGTCCTGCGGTGGCACACCCACCATACCTGTGGCTCCCTGATTAGTTAGATGCTGACCCAGACCTTGCCTTCTCTAAAATGATCCCGGCACAGCCCAAACTCCAAAATCTCAGACATTCGGGTTTATGCAGCAGCACGATCACAGGGTCTCAATCGTCTCAACTGTAATCCATTCTGTGACAAGCAGACGCCTCTCAGGTTTGCTCCTGTCACGGCCCCAACTTCCCCCCACCCCCATGGCCTCCCCCCTCCCAACAGCCCCCCCATGCTGTCTTCATGCCCTAGCACACATGTCCCCCAGGACACATGAAACCAGAACCTTCCATCAGAGTGGCTCGTGAGAAACAGACCACTTGCAAAGGGAAAACAGTTGGAAATACAAGATTTTCCTTTAAAGGAGAAAGTAACGTTGGCAGCAGTGCTCTTCTCAGCTGCCCTCCAGCAGTGTTGAAAGAGCCATTTTGGGAGACAGAGGGAAAGGAAGGAAGTGTGAGTGACAAATGGAGAGCAGAAAATAGTGAAAGAGAGGGAGAGAAAAGAAGAGGGAAGACAGATAAGGGCGGGGGTGGGGGGCGGGGGGCACAAACCGGAAGGAGGTGGGTGGCAGAGCAAGAGAATGAGGGTCAAAAACAAAAGGAGGAGAAGGGAGCAGAGGAGGAGGTGGAAAAGGCAGAGGAGGAGGGGCCTGCACCGCTGGGTCTCACGAACACGGGCCACCAGTTCTGCGGCAACCCTGCCGCTCTCCCCCAGAAGCTGTGTCATCCACCAGGGAACAGGCTCTCCACTGGCTTATTAGAAACACTCAGAGCTCTGAAGTGTATGTCAGAGTCCCCTGGGCCCAAAACAGACAACTGAATAGAATTCAGGGAGTCTGTCCCCAAAGGCTCTTGTTAACCTTCTGCATTCAGCCTTCATTAGAGATGCAAGATCTTTGAAAAGTCCGTGAGCATACATACAGACGAAGCCTCATGTTCCAGAGTTTCTGTTAATAATGTCCCCTTTCCCTCACAAGTGTTCCGGTTTAGATGTTAAATTACTCACGCTTCCTATTAATAAGAGACACAGGAAGCTGAAACTTATTAAGTCTCTAAACAGACTGAAATACTTAGTCTCATCATTCTCAGAAAAGGAGGAAGCCTGCATTGGTGACCAGAAGAGACCAGAAGAAACCAGGACTCCTTCCTGGGAGAACCAAAGTACTTGAGATAATTCTAGGCATAATACTATGATGGTAAGGGTGCGGAAGGCACCCAGATTAGGCTTCTCGAGCCAAGGCTATTTATAGCACGTGCCTTGGATATTGAAATAATAATTTCTAGGGCTTCCCTGGTGGCACAGTGGTTGAGAGTCTGCCTGCCAATGCAGGGGACGTGGGTTCGGGCCCTGGTCCGGGAGGATCCCACATGCCGCGGAGCAACTGGGCCCGTGAGCCACAACTACTGAGCCTGCGCTCTAGAGCCCACGAACCACAACTACTGAGCCTGCACATCTGGGGCCTGTGCTCCGCAACAAGAGAGGCCACGATAGTGAGAGGTCCGCGCACCGCGATGAAGAGTGGGCCCCGCTTGCCGCAACTAGAGAAAGCCCTCGCACAGAAACGAAGACCCAACACAGCCATGAATAAATAAATAAATAACTTTAAATCATATGGGCTTCTAAGAAGACCTCTGCTTAGATAATAATAATAATAATTTCTAGAACTAGTCATTTAAGGTTGGGTGGCAGGGGAAGAAAAGACCACAATGATAGGTAACTTTACCCTTCTGAAAGGTAAAGCAGAATGGGTCACAGATAAATAATGTTTGAGGAGTCAAATGGAATAGAGAAACTCTGCAGTAACCTGCAGTAACCTCTGGTTAGTGGTTAAGTGTAGCTATGGATTATTCATTCTGAAATGTACACCATGAAGGCTCAAGTTAAGACTGCTTAGCTCTCCAGTATCAAGAGTCTATTGGAAGGAAGGGAGGGAGGGAGGGAGGGAGAGAGGAAATTAGTTTCAAGGCAATCTATGGGAATAAAGGGACCCAAGATATTTTATCACCACAAGGAAGCTAAGGAGTAATGCGGAGGGAGGGTGGGTAGGATGACCTAGATAATAAACAGAAAGGAGTATATAACCCCAGGAGCATTTGACAGTGAGAAGAAATCTCCTGGGGAATGTGAGGAAATACTACTTTGCCCTCCCATCCTCATCCTTCATCCCAAACATGGTCCACATTATTTACTCAGTTGCACATTCACTTAACAAGTATTACAGAAGCTGTGAGCGACGTAAGTCTAAATCAAGGCACTGAGTCCTCAATGAGCATCTTCCACGTGCCAGACCCCATGCTAGATGCTAGGGATGCAGGCATGAAGGAGATGTGGTTTCTGCCTTCAATAAGCTCCAGACTGAGAAGGTCTCAGACACGTGCAATTGCTACCGTTCTAGTTTTGTTGATGGGATTTGAGTGTCCTAAAGAATGAACTGAGAAGTCCCATTCAGACCAAAATTCACCTACAGCAGACCACCTAGACCTGTGCAAACGTTTTTGGTTTCCTCATGAAAGCTCTGCAGTGTACCATGTTTCTCTTTCTGCCTTGGGTCCCAGAGCAAAGTAGTACACTTAACTGCAATAAGCATCCCTGGGCTAGGTTTTCTCATACATTTAACTCTCCCAAAACTTATTTCAGGGCTCCGGTTCTCTTACCCTGATTTTAGTAGCTCTGTTAAGTATTATTTTTCTCTAAACCACCTCAAATTATTGCTGGAAGAGGGCAATTTATTTAAAAATTTATAAATGATCTTTTCTATTAGAAGAGGCCCAGATTGATCCAGGAACTCCAGAGATTCCAGTGGGTCTTATAGGGACAGGGAAGACCTAGAGATCCTGGGTCACTCGGAGCTGGGGACACAGGACACTCCAGGATGGGCCTCTGATCTGGGCTGGCTACAACTGGATCAATGAAGTACAAAGAGGAAACAGACATTCAGTAGCAGGTTCCCTGTACAATCAAATCCATGATCTTTTCATTTGATATCAGCTCTAGGACAGAACCCGAGGCTCACCTTCCCCCATGACACCTACCAGGGTAAGGGAGGGGCTCAAGGGGAGCCACACTGTCACCCCCAATCTCCTGTGGTGACCCAGCTTCAGTGACTGCCCTACTTACATCAACGGGTGCAGAACATCCTCTGAGGGGCAGGATGCTCAGGAACAGCTGGCCTCTGCTTCGCTTCAGTGATCGTAGCTTCTTTGCTTCAAGTCACAAGTCTCAGCACTTTCTAGAGCATTGAACCCTCGACTAGTTGTAGATCTCCCTTTACAGAGGGGGAAAAAACAGAAAGCAATGTTTTATTACAGACGTTTTCTTCATTCACGTTTTCTTTCCTGTTTGACATTTCTGCCCACCACTATCGAAGAGAAGCCTCCCCAGGACCCCTGGCACTGAAGGAATTTGACAAATCCTCAAAGAGTTTTTGTTTATGGGGGTTATGCTATTGATATTTATCAATTTAGAAATTAAAAAACTGAATTTTTAATTTATTACTTATTAATTCATTAAAATAATAATTCCATGTTAACACAAATAAGAATTTTTCATAAAAATTTTTCATAAAACATTTAGTGAGAAGACTGACATTGTTTTACATTTTTAAAAATCTCTTTGATATCTGGCTTAATCAAACAGCTTCTATCTGCTTCTGGATTCAATGTGTTGCAGTAATAGCACAAGTCATTTAACCTCTGGAAAATTCCACCATATACTTGTGGGAGAATGAGAGTGAAAAAAGCAAAAACATCCTAGTGTTATTATGAAAACAGTTTTTATCCTGTGGACCCCCTGAAAGGGTCTCAAGAACTCGCAGGGATCCCCCGAGTACACAGGAACCAGTGCTCCATACGGTCAAAAGAAGTCACGCTTCCACCTCGGACTATCAGTCCCCTTCCATAGATGCAGCTAGTTATCAGTTACCTGAGTAGTCTTCTAGAACTATCCTAAACATATGTAAAAATATATGGATGGATAGGATTTTTTTAATTTAAAAAAATCAAGTATTAGCATCCCATATATTTCACCTTGGGTTTTCTGTTATACATGTTGGGGGCAGTTGCATTTCAGCATATGTAGTTACATCATTCCTTTTCACAGGTCTATAGTATTCCACTCAATGGATACAAGGATATATACCTCTACATAGTGCCACAGGGTCCAAGTGGGTTACTGAACGGCTACCATAAGTTGCCAATTTCTTCAGTGAAGGATTTAGAACTTAATGCAAATAAAGTGGCCACATGGAGCAAGAATGAATGTCACATATATTAGTACAGCCTTCCTCTGACTTCTAGTTCCCTAACAAGGCATGCAGCTGAAGTCTTCAAACTTTGAGAAAATATCCCAACTTTGGCAATACTACTGTCCTTTTATACTTGGGGCTTACCTCAGTGTTCCAGAAAAACCTGTACTAATATCTCTGTGCCTGTTTGTACCAGAATGTTCACAAACATCAACCTCTTTTGAAACATACTATCATCAGCGCCACATCATCATGGGGGAAGAAAGCAGGATCAGGGTCCAAGGGTCCCCATACAGTATTTCTGAAAACTATTTCCCTGTGGTACTAAGGTTACAAAGGTTAGCCCTGTTAGATCACAATTTCCCTGACATAGAAAACCTGTCATCTGAAGGAAACCCTCACCTCATATGGCTAATTTGGTCTAATTACATTGCAGGCTTCAAATGCTAAAATGTACGCAGACTACCTGCGTTCATTTCCTCACTCTGAGATTTACTAGCTGTATAATCTTGGGAGTTACTTAGCTTCTACTTACTTGTAAAATGGAGATAATGATAACTATCTCACATAGTTATGAAGAAGAAGAATTGTAATTCTCTAGTAAATGTGCCTGCCACACAGTAGGTGCTCAATGCTCAGTAACTGCTAGCCCTCTCCCTTTATTGTTCCATGAGCAGAAATAATGTGTGAGACTGATCTGATGTCATGGACTGAGCTGGCTTTTCAGGGAACCCCAATAATCTAGTCTTTTAGGAAGTCTGGAGCTATAAGAGACTGGGACAAGAGAAGAGGATGGAGATTTTTTTTTCCTCTTGTGATATGTTTGTCATCTGTCTGATTCAAAATGAGAGACACAGGTCTGCTTTCCTCCTCACTAGGCCAGGAAAACTGGCACCAACATTTCCGGCATTTCTGTTTCAACTTTTCCATCTGTCTCTGAAATTATATAGGCCAGCGTGGTTTGCACTTTTAGGCCCACAGACTCTACAGAAAATCCATCAGGTTTGGAGGAACCCCTCAGGTGAGGATGAGCAGAGATTTACTTCTGAACAATTCCCAGGAGTAGAAGCAGCACTTACGATAATTACAGACAGAATCATTATGACCTCCATTTACAGATGAAGAAACTAAGGTCTGGAGACATTAGGTAAATTCCCCAAGGTAACACAGCTAACAAGGGCAGGGTGGGAACTCAAAACCAGGTTTGTCCTATTCCAAAGCTCAAATTTTTAACCACATCATCATATGATGCTCTAACTAGAAAGGAAACCAGTCCTGTCATGACATAGCAAGGCCTGCAGCTTCATGGAAATGGTCTCACAGAGGGAGAAATTATCCTTAACTGTAAGTTAAGGATTTACTAACCCAGTAGTGTAAAAAATCAAAATCAAAATTCTTCAGAAAATCATACCTCAACTAGATGCAAAGTAGAATGGCAGGACACCAAAACCAATATTTTATTAGTTTTGGATTTGTAGATTATCTTATTTTATTTGCATTTGATTAGATCAATTATTAAGATTAATAGGTTGTTTCAATTTATAGATTATTATTTTAAAAAATAGATTAATAATTTAATTTAGCCAATAGTATTTCTAGCTCCTAGTATACATCAAGTACTATAAGTGTTAAAGATGAAGAAAACATGTTCCTTGTCCTTGAAGAAGAAGATATAGTGGATATTATAAGATATAATAGATATAACTACTATATATAGTATATATATATATATACATAATATATATATTTGGGTTGGTGAAATAATAAGATAGAAAAGAATAAGATACTAAAAGAAGGAGAAATCAAGCCAGTGGAATGTTCAGGGAAGACTTGAAGGAGGGAGAAGGCATCATTTAAGTGGACTCTTGAAATATAACTGGGATTTTGTCAGAAAAAGTAAAAATAAAAGTCTAAGAAAAGGGAACAATTTGAATAGGCAAGTTATGGAATGAGGATATCAATAAATAGTTGCTGGAGGACAGGAAAAGCTCAGTAATTGAAGCTAGAGCTGGAAGATGGTTGAGGCTATGGACGCTGGCAAGAGGTGAGAACAGGCGACCCAGGAAAAGCTTTGGAAGAGGAATGACGGGGTGAGGGAGGCTCTATAAGGCTTAACCTGGCATGTGGGATGCTTTAGAGGAGAGAGAGGGGCAGAGTGACCAATGGGAGCCTGACCTAGAACAATGACATCAGGAAGGGAAAAGAAATAACGTGGAGGTATGATAATAATCAGGTGGCGAGGACTGGATCGCTCAGCGACTAGCTACAGCAGGGAAGAAGGAAGGAGTCAAGGAAGCCTGCGTTTCCAGCCTGCAAGTGACCAGGAGCACGTCACTACGTATTAACAAAACCTGGGAAAACTGGAAGAGGGATTGGTTCACAAAGGATGATTGTGAGTTTGGTTTTGAACATAAAGAATTTGGCTTCCTCTCAATGGAAACAGATTAATACATCGAGCAGAGGAGTAGAAATCTGAGTCTGGCCTTCAAGAGAGAGTTTGGTTCCATCAATAGATGAATGGATAAAGAATACACACACACACACACACACACACACACACACACACACACAATGGAATACTACTCGGCCATAAAAAGGAGAGAGTTTGGTGTTATGGATTCATATTTGAACATCAAGTCCATAAAAGCAATAATTAAAGTCTGAGAAGATGAGATGATCTGGGAAGAAGGAAAAGAAGAAAACTAAAGACAGAACCCTGGGGCCTATCTGCACAGACTGGTGGAAGAACGTCTCTGCTTCCCCTACTACCCTCTGGGTGAGACTCAAGACAACTTAAAAACAGTTCCTCCTCACAAAACATCAGCACCCCTGATCTAACCCAGCTCCCTCAGTTCACAGATAAAGAAGACTCAGGCCCAGACAGTTAACTGATTTATCCAAGGCCTCACAGCTGCTTATCAGCAAAACTGAGACTAGACAAATGAAGGGACTTGGGAATTAGTCTTGCCTTAGCAACTGGATACTTGCATGTGCACCGTATGACATGCTTGGATTCAGAGAAGCCTGAGAGCAAACCAGAAGCTTCACTTACCTCTGCTCCATCAGTTCAGCACTGTGACCCTGCCCAACCATATAATCAGCTCAGGGGTTCAAACCACATCTTACTCATCTTGTTGTCACTGTCCCTCTGCCCTCACTTTCCTTACCACTGTCTCCGCTACCGTCGTTATTACAGAGTAGAAAAATCAGATTATTTTCCTCTTCTGAATATGCACATGACCACAGACTTTCGGAGTTGAAAGAACTTAAGATTTCATCTAGTATTAGTATAGCCCCTGTGCAAACAGAGCCAGAGAAGTTCAATGACCAGATGACCAATTAGCAGTAGACCCCAGACTAAAATTCCAAACTCTTTTTTTCTTTCCATTACACTACCAACCTTTAGTGCAAGAGACTTATTTTTAAGACAATGTTTCGTGTCTTTAATTTCTTGAAATTATGCTATGTAGCCCTCTCCCCTCAAGATGCTTCTTTAAAAAACGAGCTCCATGGTCCAAAAAGTTTGTGGAGTGCTATAAGCTATACCTCTCTTGGACGGTCAAAATGCTTATTACCACATTAAAGACCTTGGGAAGTCCTTGCAGTAAAGAAACCTGCTCAATTCTCTAAGAATACTTCCCCAAAACTTATTTGGCCACAGAACTCTGGCCCTGGCCCTGGCCCTATCGTTCTCCATTTAAAAACCCACTGGTTTCCAAGGATTGTAATTTGGGAAGCACCACCTTTGCCCAGTTAGCAAGATTTCCTTTGTTAGGTCCCAAGAAGTGGTGCCAATACTGAGGTCCTCCCTGTGTGAACCGGGTGGGGTAGCAGTGAGAGACAGAGAAGGAAAGAGAAACAACAAAGAGCCCCAGTCTCATCCAGAGCCATCTGCCCTGCCAACATCAAAGGGCGAGACAGCTACTTGAGAAGTTTTGACTCAGGATCCTGGTTATAAGCTTAAGGCAGTTGAAGTGGAAATCATCTCCAACCTTGAATTCTTGTGGGAAAATGGGTTTCCA